ACTTACTTCAGTATCACTTCTTGGTCTCTTATAAATGGACACCATCAAAATCAATGATGACAACATTTCACGTTTTCTTCCCATTTTCTCTCAACAAAAATATAAAGCCTCGATGACACGGCAGGAAATAAAAACTTGGGAGCTCTTATTTGCATGACGTGATTTTTTCGGCTTGTTCTTTTATTTGAAATATAGGGGATGAAAAAAGTTGAAATCACGGGCACGAGGTTCCAAGAATTTGTTCTCCTCAAGAAAAAAAAAACTTGGGAGCTCTTATTTGCATGACGTGATTTTTTCGGCTTGTTCTTTTATTTGAAATATAGGGGATGAAAAAAGTTGAAATCACGGGCACGAGGTTCCAAGAATTTGTTCTCCTCAAGAAATAATAATTTTAGAAAGCATTCGGATTTTTTAAACCTGTGAAAAAGATCTCAACTCTGCTTCGTTGGGCAACTGATGGTCGCCGGGAATTTTCATATTGGATTTTTCCAATTATTAAAACTTGAAGCTATCACACACACTGTCTATAAATATGAGAATTCAATCCATCGAATTCAAAACTGAAGCGAATTTAAGAGGCGTTCTGATTTTCTTCAGGTTAGTTTTTTGTGAAACCAGTGATTATTCATTTCAATGAAGACGGCGTTGCCTTAATTTAATCGAATGCCTAGAATTACGGCTGAAAACAAGTTTTTCAAAGCATTTATAGTCGTAGGTTACTGAACTTTAATTCAAATTGTAATTTACTTAATTATCCCACACCTTGATTTTTTGAGGTGAAAATTAAGAGAAAAAGTTTCTCTTAATTTACAGCTGTAATCCCAACCCATGGTCTGATAAAAACTTGGGAGCTCTTATTTGCATGACGTGATTTTTTCGGCTTGTTCTTTTATTTGAAATATAGGGGATGAAAAAAGTTGAAATCACGGGCACGAGGTTCCAAGAATTTGTTCTCCTCAAGAAAAAATAATTTTAGAAAGCATTCGGATTTTTTAAACCTGTGAAAAAGATCTCAACTCTGCTTCGTTGGGCAACTGATGGTCGCCGGGAATTTTCGTAGTGGATTTTTCCAAATATTAAAACTTGAAGCTATCACACACACTGTCTATAAATATAAGAATTCAATCGATCGAATTCAAAACTGGAGCGAAGTTAAGAGGCGTTCTGATTTTCTTCAGGTTAGTTTTTTGTGAAACCAGTGATTATTCATTTCAATGAAGACGGTGCGGCCTTAATTTAATCGAATGCCTAGAATTACGGCTGAAAACAAGTTTTTCAAAGCATTTATATAGCATCCAATGACTTGAAATTAAGTTTAACATTAAATGAATTAATAGGGTGTGGAACTAAAAAACTCCACTTTTAATTCTCTTTTTCAAAGAGAATTAAATGTCGACATTAGGGTTGGGTACCAGACTGGACCTTTGCTGGCCCAGAAAAGTTGTTTGCCAGTCCACGGGAAATTTTCTTCAGGATAATAAATTTATCAAAAGTATGGCAATGAATTCTGTTATCTTCATCTGAAATTTTGGAAAGACAATACATGGCAGTTGAAATTATTGGATGAAAAATGAAAGTTAGATTTTTTTCCCAAGTAAAACTTCAAACACATGTTTGCCTGCTAAAATAAATGATTTTAAGTTTTAATTCCAAGAAACCTTTCAAGCCCACACTTATAATATTGAATGAATGAATGAATGAACAGAACACTTTATTTGCCACTTTTCAGCATTCACCAGGTTCAATCAAGATTTCCACATCCAAACCCAAGGAAAAATGTCTTGTAATATTTTGAAGACATTCCACTACACCTGCTTCATTGGTTCATGACTTAATTTTTGCACACAAAAAACATAAACTTTTTAGATACCTGCCATGCAGTCATTCAAAGAAAGCTTTTCTGAGTATTTAAAAATTTTATGAAATTATGCCAGTCAGCAAAATTATCATTATTTTTATTTTTTTTTGGAAATATGTTGCTCCACGTTTATAATTTTACGGAAATGTGCCAGTCCATAGGCTAAAGAGGCTGTGGAACACTGATCGAAAATAATCCAGCCTATTCACCCTGATCTATTTCACAAAATTTCTCACTCCTTCTTTTTTTTCGGTTTCCCCACTGCAGGTGAAATCTCGGTGACCAGCAGTCGTCGACGCGAATTCCGAGCGTCAACTGAGCCCGCAACCCCGCAGGTCCCGCGAGTGTTCGCGTCGGATACGGCGGGGAATAACAACGGAGCGGAAACAGCGCTGCGTGGAGTCATTCATTTCCCTCCGACCTTCCTCCACTTTGTGTACAACAGGATGATGATGATGTTGAAGAGGAAGAAGACCAAGAACAAAGAGAACCAAGCTCCCCCTCACCCAAGGGTTTCAAGGGAAGGGGGGGTCGAAAAAAAGGGGTTCGCATGGGCCTGCTCAAGTTCTTGTTTCTTGTCGTCGAAGCGCCGCATCAGTAATGGATGCCCCATGCAGGAAACCTGCGGCTCAAGGTTTCAGCGGGTAAAATGGAGTAGGGATGCTTCCAGGACTACTTCCGGGGTTTACAGATACAATCGACATCTGAGACTGCTTATATACGGGACTCAGAAATGGGGGGGATGAAATGTTTGAACCGAAGACAATCCCGACAGCTGCATCACCGTTTTGCAATTACGACTTGAGATATATATATATATATATATATATCCGGGATGTCAACATCAAATGATTCTCTATTGCTGGCACTGCTTTCAGTATATAGTCCAAAGGAATCCTTCCATTATATCTACATAATGCAGGGGTTCCCTTATTGTTTGCTGACACGTGATGCTCAAAACGCCGCGGTGGAGAAAATACGTCGGAGCGAAAAACGCCGTTAGTCACAGAATGTACTCCCAGTTGCGGTCTTATCTTGAAGTGGATGAAAATCCATTCGTTTGTTTGCAACTGATTTTTGTGCCCAGTCATTGAATTTTTTTTGTGAAACACATTTTTTCTTGTGATTCAAATTTGCCTTTCATTTTTGTAGCGTTGGCCTTGTCTCGGATTTATTTTTTTGTTGACTGCATCATGTAAGTGAAAAGAAGGAATAACATATTTTACTGCAGCATCTTAATTATGGTAGAAACACCTTGTGGACATTGTTTTTCCGTCTACTAGAATTGCTCGCAAGCATACATTGAATCAAACTTAAAGTTAAATCCTTTACCAAATCAGATTAGAAGTGATCTGTACAGGAAGCTTTCCAGCCTAAAATTTGATTTTTTTTTTATGTCCAGAGTCATATTCTCCAAACATGACGCATGTACTGATTTCGGAAAGTCTCGCTAAAGCATTTTGTGCGAAAATAAAATACGTCCATATTTTAGCATACCTTAAAAAGATTTCTTAAATGCTCGCGAAATCCGTGAAAATCGCTTCTAAAAATAATATTTGAAGTATTTTAAATTTGAAGTGCTGGATTGAAGCTGAACCAAGACTTTTATGTTTCAGAGTGAGCTCCGTCAATTTTGATCAATTTTACAGTTGATCCAGTGAGTTAAAATATACCTGTACTATCGTTTTAAAGTGCAACAACTGATTTCTTATTTAAAACTAAGTTGATCCAGTAGCTTTTTCGACCTGAAATTCAAAAAAAAAGTACTGAAGAAAACGAGAATTTAGATAGCATCACTGAAATATGTGCATGTGGTGAAACAGACAGAGAAATACGGCTTCGGATCCTAAAAATGCCTTCGTGTATTGAACCTTGTTTGATTCTTTCATATGCTTTTCAGGCACCAACATGTTCCGGTCATTTCTGACGATAGGAAACAAACCCTTTCTCTTTGGCGGAAACGAGTTTCACGCCATGCTGAACAGACTTCTGTGAGTATCGAAATAGGCGTGTCAAACATGAAGAAGGATCTTCGGAAGTCTTTCAGAATTGAGGTCAACAAGTACGAGGGGTTTTCAGAAGTCTCATGAAGTCATGACTCATGAGTTACCAAAAAACTGCCACATTTTATAAGCATGGGAAAACTGGTCAAATATTCTCCATCTGCAAAGAAAAAGAAAATCGTAGTTCCCGCAGATTTAAAAAATTCGAAGTATTTCTAAAAATTTTAACTATTATTTGCGAGCGTTATTGAGACTTTAAAAAACCCACGTGTCTATTACATAATGTAGCAGTGTCCATCGAATCAATATATTTTTTTATACAAATTTCAAAAATACTGTACTTCAATATTGTTCCACGAGTTTTTTAAAACCTCATGTTGAAACACTTCTTTCCATAATTGCCTTCCTTTAATTTTTGTCAGTCTCGTGTTAGAGCGTCTCTCATAAGGAAAAGTGCTGTGTTAATTATCGCCAATGCAATACATTTCAACTCAGCTGGAAACATTGACAAAATTCGACTGTCAGCCAATTTTCTCCGCTTTTCGAATGAAAATTATACGGAAAAATTCTATCCCCTGGAATTGTGTGTAGGTGCCAGCAACTTCCTAAAATAGTCCAACAATTATTTCCGCCTACCCTTTGAAGAAGGAAATCTCGAATTACACACAATACGAGGATTGGTTCATAAGATTTGAGACTTTTAAAAATAGATCCAACGGAGTTTCAACAATTCCCATGATTCTTTTTTACTTGCAAAACCCCAAAATTTGGCAACACTTCAGTGCTGTGCAACATTCTCGCCGCCCATTTTAATGTATTTTTTCATGCAATAAATTCAGCGATCAAAATAGTGCCAAAAATTGAAATCTTTTAGTTGATGGTAGACACCCTGTGACTTCTGGCTGTTCCCAACCAGTTTACGGTGGTTGAATTTATCGCACGAAAAAATGCTTTGAAATCGGCGGAGATCATGTGGAACAGCACTGAAGTGTTGCCAAATGATGGGGCCCATGCGAGTACTTTTTTTGGAATTGTTGACATTCCGTTGGATCTATTTAAAAAAAAAGTTTCAAACCATATGAAACAACCCTCGCATTATGGCGAGGCATCTCACGAAGTTTTAGAGAAACCTTTCCCATGTTTTCCACGGCATTCTTTGTTAATTTCTCATGTCAAAAATATCCTGATGGCGTTACTTAAATAGAAAGGTCATAGAAATGTCTCTGGAAAACGATGAATTTGACGAATCAATTCAAAGCAGCCCCCGAAGTCCCAGCTTATTTTTGCTTCTTTTCCTCATCTATAGCTCACCCTCATTTATTCCGATCCATGTTTCATCTCCCCGCGCTTTTCTCCCATTCAGGCCTTGACTGGCTTTCACTGCGTCTGTTGGCATAATTTCCGAGGAAATTCGGACTCATTTCGAGTACAGTTGTTGAGAATCCGTCGATCGCTCGATTGATTGATTGATTGCTGGTTGCCCGGGAAAGATGAGTTTCGGAAGAGAAGGCCTGGTCGCAGGCTCGTTTCTCGCCGTCATGGGCATAGCGGGTCTGGTCGTGTTTCCCCTCTTGTACACGTCTTACTACTCCTTGACCCGTCCGAGTGCCATGTACTGGGCAGCCGTGGACGCGAACCCCGACGGGATGCGGGTTAAGATTTACTTGGTGCACTTTGTGGAAGAGGCGCCGCGTCGTCGAGTCGAGGAAATTTGGCGCTGCGACTTCGACCCTGTCGATCCGATCGTTCGACCCAAAGTAATGCAAATATTTTTGTTATTTTTTCATGAGTGGAACTTATATATTATATTGCATTATATTGCCCGTCATTGTGCGCAACGTGCATTTTTCTATTCGGAATTTCACCGAGATGACGATTAACCACTGCCGCATGACCACCCATGTTCCCCCAACGGGATAGCGACAATGCACTTCTCATTTTATCATGTAGATGTCGCTGCAACGTCCTTAATGAGTTACCTGTATTATACAGTATGTCTGTCAACGGTTTATACGTAAACGTTCCCACAGGACTAGATAGGGGTCTAGCAAATTTTATCTGAATAGAAATCGGAATGGTTTATTATGGAGCTAGAATATATTTGCCCAAAAAAAACCTTCTTCGGCCCAAGAAGAAAGTCCACCATTTCGAGATTGAATTTGAATCAAAAGCAGCAATTAATACAAATGGATTAAATAAGAATCAATTAATGGCGTGTCAATTTGATGAATTTAAAAAGTAAAGGTGGGGTACTCATGCAAATTTCTTTTGCATGAAGAACAGATAGCTGCAGAAACTTTTTCAAAAGAAATTCTGAAAAATATGTACAGCAGGGCTGAATTCTTTAGTTGTTCCCATGAATTTTTATGAGCAATGATTGTTTTTCAGCTCCTTTCGTTTTACATTTCAATTCATATTCCGAGAACATTTTTTAGACCTCTCATATAGTCAGTGTGATAAGGTTATTTGTCCAGTTTTGGATTTTTATAGGACGTCAGGTAAATGCTTGCGTTGATAAACGTCCATTCAACTTTTCAGCTACATTCCGGTAATGATGACCACTAATAATTTTTTGAAATTAAATAGAGTTGAAAGGAGTCCAAATATACTACAGTACAAAGATGGAATTGTCTGCTGATGAGACCTTACCTTATTGCAAAAGCAAGCGATCAGATTAGCATCCCAGCAATGATACATAATTTGTGATATCTTGTATTAGAAACCCCCTTTTAAATGGTTGGGCTATTTTCTTAAGGCGTCAAAATCATTAAACTCGTCTTATTGTGGCCTCATAATCATTGAAAAAACCCGGTTTAGGTCTAAAAAAATCAAATGTAAAATGTATTCCTTTAACTCGTGATTTACGAATATAAGCGCATCCCGAGAGGATCCAAAAATATTCCTCAGGAAAGGATCTTCTTATTTTCTGGGATCTATATATTAGCGTATCCTACAGGTCTCTATAAATTACTGTACATATGCAGCATATATTTAATTGATTCTAGCTCTACATTGTACCGTCTCATTTTTTGTATTAATCTTAGAATAGCTTGGAGCAGCAACGGAGAATCTCGTCTTTTTTCTTCCTATTTCCTTTGTATTCCATTAAACTCAACCGAGTCTTGATTTGGGTTTTTTTTCAGATGAAAATTGCGTTTTGTGGGGAAGAAAAAAAACCAAGATCATCTTTTGAAAAAGAGGATCTCGGGTCTTTTTTTTCTCCTCTACAACTATCTTTTCTTCTTTTTTTTTTGCGCTCTTCCGTCCATGAACAAGACTATTCGAGCGAATACGGAAGAATGCGCGAAAAGCGCCAACGTGCCCAAGGATATTTCCGGCCTGGAATCCATTCCGGTCATTGCCCGTGGCACGTCATCGTACCGGCCCGAACCCCCGGACCCGATTGCGTCGTCGCCCGATGACTCGAACTCGACTCTGCTGCTTCTGCAGCAGGTTGAAGAGCCGACCCGGGCCCAACTCCAAGTCGAGGGTGCCAGGCTGAAGAGAACCCTGGAGAAGGTCGGGATGAATGTACGGAGTGCCCGGGTGTTGGGACCCCGCGACGCCGTGGTGCTCAAGTGGCTGGCGATTAATCACGATGCCTTTCGCCGGAATCCCAGCACGGCCCTCAATTCCGGACTGATTGATCTCGGGGGATTGAACGCCGATATCGCCTATAGTGGGTATGGGGCATTCAACGACGACGCCACGGGTTCCGACGACGAGGATGACGGTGTCGTGGATAGATACAGGTATACTGTACTATACACCAGTATTCCCCAACCTTTTTTTTTCTGGGCCCGTGGACTGGCAAATTTCCATACAATTTTTTTAGACCAGCAAATTTTTTTTTTATTCTGCAGACCAGCAAAGTTTTCTAAAATGTTTGCAGATTCAAAAAAGTTCAACTTGACAGACTTTCTGGCAGATTTTTAAAAAGTTGCTGTTTATTTTTGTAAAAATTAAGTTAAGAACCAATGAAACAGCTATATGGTGGAATGTTTTCAAAAAATTAGAGCAGTGGGCTAAAAAAATGGTTTCTGTGAATAAAAATATTAAGTAATTTATTTCAGCACGTGAAGATTTGTCTGAAGTGCTATTATAGGAGAAAAGCCAACTTTTATTTTTCATCAGATAATTTCAACTACCATTGTCTGTCCAAACATTGCACAACTTTTATCTTTCATCAGATAAGTTCAATTGCCATTGTCTTTCCGAAATTTCAGAAAAAGATAACAGACTTCATTGCTTATTGAAAATTTTCTGCAGGTCGGCAAAAAACTTCTGCATAGTGGTGTTGGTCTGTGGAGGATCACTTTTTTAGAGTATTTCTTACTGCTGCCCAGGGTTCTTCAGCTCTATGGGTGCCATACACAGGCTTTTGAAAATTTATGATATTCTGGGCACGATTTATGAGTTCTAGACGAAAAATTCCCTCATTTTTCATCTTCCTGTGAACTCTGAACCGCTAGAACGAAGCTGGTTCTAGAACGAGGCTGCTGACTTGCACATTCTTCCGTTCTGTATTGTGGAAAGAATAGGGGCTAGAGAATCTTCGTACTGCTCAGTCAACTCGAAAATTTAGTTTCTATTCACTGGCTTTCAACAATACAAGACGCGCCTGAAAAAAAAAAAAAAAAAAAAAAAAAAATGGACTCAGTTGTCTTTGAATAAGAGAGACTTTCGTCCTGGTGCAAATCGGCCAGGGGAAAGGGAATTACTTTTTCCGCCGTGGCCGAGAATCCGAGAAACGCAAGGAACGAATTAATTGGCCCCGGTCCGGAAACGCAGGTGTGACCGTTCTTTTCAGAGCAAGACGATCCTCGCGAATAACTATCCAGATAACCGAAATATATTACTCATCAATGAACGCAATTAGAACCTCTGTTTTTCCTCTTTCTGGGGCACAATTGAGTGGATCATCAGACACAGCACGCCTGCATTTCATTCTTTTTGCGCTATAATAAACCGTGGGGTCATTGGCATGAGGCCGCATTTGAAAGTAGTCGGTAGCAAATTAACATTTGGATCTTGAAAAATTCAGATCGATGAAGAGGGATCAGAAATGTAGACGATTTAAGTTGATTTGATACGTCTGAGAAAGCGTTTCTAAAATAAGCGAACAAAACTTGGTGGAAGAAAAATAATGATATACTCTTTTAAGCATTTAAAAATAATTTGGTGAAGGAAAAAAAATCATTGACATTTCCTTTTTTTTGTCATCCATCAGAGAAAAATAGTGAGTTCAAAACACCGAGCTAAAATTGGTCAGCGTACCAAATTGAAAACTTTTTCACCAGAATTGAATGACTTACATCAGCAATCATTCAAATCGTTTCGGGATTTTCAAAATATTATTTATGGTCTGTAAAACACTAAAATAACGCAGAAAAAAACAGGGAAAATAGCTGCTGTTCATTGGATTATACAATGACAATTTATACATATTTATGCCTATTTTGTACAGGTCTTGGTCTTCAATAAAATGAAAAGAACAAGATCATTCAGATATTTTTGAAGTCGCTGTTTTGATCTTGGCAAGGCAACAAGTTCGTAAAAAAAAAATTCGCTAAAACTCTGAACAGAGATTTTTAATCAATGCAAAAACCCAAGAGATCTCTAACACCAATTAAAATTTGAAAATACTGTACATGTACTCCAAAATTCACATTTCCTTGATTCACTTCCTCGTATCCCAAAAATTCAACC